TGATCCATTGCAGTCCCTTTCCTTTATTGTGTGCCTGATCCTCTAGCTTTTGCAGTAACCTCTTGTGAGGAGTTTAACTGTGTCAAAGGCCTTCTTGCAGTCCAAAAAAATGCAGTCGATCCACCCCTCTCTCTCTTGTCTTACTTCTGTCACCTTGTCATAAAACCCCTAGTAGGTTTGTGACACGGGATTTTCCCTCCCTGAAACCATGCGGGTTTGTCAATTAAAACACTTGTTTCTTTCCGGGTGCCCACCACTCTCCTCCTGATGACTCTTCTCCATGGCCTTGCATACTATACACGTTAGTGATACAGGTCTGTAGTTTAGTGCCTCATGTCTGTCTCCCTTTTTAAAAATTGGACTACATTTGCCATTTTCCATACCTGGGGGAGTTGCCCATTTCAAATGATGTGTTGAAGATATTTGTTAACGGTAAAACGCAATATCCTGCTCCCTCTTTAAGGACCCACGGAGAGATGTTGTCTGGTCCCACCGCCTTTGAGGTGTCAAGTTCGCATAGCAGCTTCTCCACCTCCTCCTTGGTTATATGACCTCTTTCCAGCACTTGCTGGTGCACCCCCCTGCCCCTGATTTCCGGGAGTCCTACTGGTTTCCACTGTAAATACTTCTTTAAGTCTTGTGTTGAGCTCCTGACATATCCCCCCGGTCGTTTCTTGTGAATTCCCCATCACCCTTCCTCAGTCTGATTACCTGGTCCTTGACTGTTGTTTTCCCTCCTGATGTGGCGTTACAACAGCTTCGGGTCAGTCTTGAATTCGATGCTATGTCATTTCGTATTGCCGCTGAGCCCCCCTTTCATATCTGTGCATATTTCGTTTCTGGCTCTTCGGCTAATCTCTTTATTTTCCTGAGTTCTCTGTCTTCTGTACCTTTCCACTCTCTAGTACAACCTAGTTTTTTGCCTCCCAAAACCCTTTTGGGTAAACCAAGGACTCCTTTCTGTTCTTCCCATTATTTCTTTTTCCCCTTTGGAACAAACATCTCCTCTGCCTCCTTGCATTTTGTTGCCACATAGTCCATCATTTCTTGTACTGGTTTTCCTGTCAGTTCCCTCTCCCACTGAATGTCTTTAAAGAATTCCTCAAGCCTGAGTAGTTCCCCCTTTTGTAGTTTGGTTTTTCCCACCCTATTCCTGCTGCTCTCTCCACTTGAGCTCAACTATGTAGTCGAAGCACAGAACCACATGATCACTAGCTCCCATGGGCCTTTCATACATGATATCCTCGATGTCAGAGCTACTCAAGGTAATACAAGGTCCAGTCGCGGGTTCATCCTCTCCTCTCTCTCTGGTAGTGTCCTCTAACATGTTGATGCATGATTTTCCAGTCCCCACATCCATCACTTGGCTCTCCATGTTTCGGGCCCCCCCATGGGGCCCAGGTTTTCCCAGTCAATCTCCTTGTGATTGAAATCACCCATATCTAGTAACTTTGCTCCCCCCATGTGTGCTCTCCGGGCCACCTCGGCTAGTGTGTCGACCATTGCTCTGTTCTCTCACGTATTCTTCTCTTGGCCTCCTGCAGTTCTGTGGTGGGTTGACATTACTGCAATTATCACCTTATGTCCCTCAGACTGAATTGTTCCTACTAAGTAGTCCCTTTCGCCCGTGCCATCCTTTCCTTTCCATTTTCTCAAACCCCCACTGGTTTTTTAATGAGCCCTGCAACTCCTCCTTCCCCCCCTCCTCCCTCTGTCTTTCCTGAGGATTTGATATCCGATGGAAAGATTGAATCTGTTTTATTCTGGTGATTTTGTTTCTGTGAGTGCTATTATGTCTGGGGAGTCTCCTTGATTCTTCGTGCCACTCCTCATACTTATTTGTTATTTCCCTCTTTCATTTGTATACCACACCTTCAACTTCTTTTTCTAAGATTGTGGTCTGGGAGGTGTATTGGGGTGGGGAAGTGGGGGACCTGATAAGGGAAATATGGGTGCTTGTTTTGGGGGGGAAATTTGTAAGCAGTGGGTGGGGGCATTGGATGTTGGCATGGGTGTTTGGTTTAGAGTGTTTGGCTGCACTGGGGTTGACCTGGTTGGGAGGCTTCTATAGAAGTTGTGAGGGAGGCTGTATTTGATCTTCCTGTGTCTGGGATCTCCTGTCTGTCTTCTCCATCCCCTCTCTTTCCTCCTTTCGCCTTGTACCATCTCTCTCTGTTTTTTGCCTTCTGCTTGTGTTCTGTCGTAGTCCGAGAAACACCTTCCTGTATGCCCGGGATGTCCCTTAATCGTGCTTTCTCCTGCAGGATCCTGTTCCGAGTCGATTCTGCCCTTTAAGGTAACTTTCACTGGGCAGGTTCTTTTTTTTGCAAACCACCCTATTCCCCCGAAAATTTTCCAGCTGGGTCATGTCGTCTTCTCCTATTGCTTTCATGATGCTTTCAATTGCTTTTTTTCCCCTTGTTTTCTTCTTCATAGTTCCCCTTTAACTTCCTGGAGCCCATACACAAAGACTGACCTCACCCTTTCATTCTCCCACTGCATATCCCGTGTAAACCCCTCATTCCCAAATTTTATTTTCCTCCATTGCAGCTTTCTTTTTTCAGTTCACTAGCTAATGTACTTGGGCTCAGTGGGCCCGTTTATTTTCCCCCTTCCCCGACTTTTCCCCGGGCCTGCTGTGGTCTGTTAGGGCCTCCACATATAACTTAGCTCTTTCATTTACTACAGTCTCCACTGATTGAGCTTCTACATGCAGTTTTGCTCCTTCTTTCCCTACAGTCCCCTTATTTGTGGCTGAGGTAGCAGTCTCTGTTGTCAATACCAAAATGTTCTTTAGTTCTTGGGCGTTTCAGATTTTTCCCGTTCCTCTTCTAAACTCTGTATTTCCCGGCCTCTGCTGCTTTGACTTGCACCTCCCACTTCCTGCTTTCCATGTCTGTCCTCTCTTCCCTTCTCAATGCTAAGTTCTTCCCAGTTTCTTTCCCATTCATGTTCCCTTTTTGTGAGCTCTGCTGCCCAATCTTCCTGTGCAGTTTCCTCCTCCTGTCCCTTGGTTTTTCTTGTTGCTCTCTGGCAACCCATTTTTGTTTTATCCTGATTGCCTCAGAGTGGGAAACCATGTAATTCTGTATGTTAGGTTAGTATTGTGTATGTCAGAGTGGGGGGGGGAGGTAGTGGAGGAACTGTGGCTATGTGGGAGAGTAGTGGGGAGGGGGAGTGGAAGGGGGGAGAAGCAAGTGGGTGAGTGGGGGAGGGGAAGGGGTTGGAGGGAGAGGTGGGGAGGGGGAGGGTGAAAGAGGGAGGGGAGGGATCAGGTGAAGGAGTGAGATGTCGGTGGGGAGGGGGGGAGTGTATTGTGGAGTCTGGCAATGTTTTTGGGGTGTGTGGTGTGGTGTGTGTAGTTGTATGTGTGTGTGGTGTGTGTGGTGTGTGTGTTGTGTGGTGTTTCGTGTGTGTTATGTGTTGTGTGTGTTGTGGTGTGGTGTGTGTGTGTGTGTGGGGTGTGTGTGGGGTGTGTGTGTTTTGTGTGTGTGTGTGTGTGGGGCGTGCATGCATGTGTATGTGTGCGTGCGTGTGGTGTGGTGTGGATGTATGGCTTAGATGGAACCGAGGGAAGGTTCAGTGTGTCAGTAGGTGTCAGGAGGTACGTGTGATGCTAGCTGGATTAAGTGTGTGATCCAGTTTGATACTGGAGAATTTAGGTTTATATCTTCGCATGTGTGTCCCATGGGATGACTGTATTACCCTCTGTGTATATAACGCCTTGTTATGCTTGGTCACTTACCATCACTTACCATTGGTGGCCCGGTGGCCTGGTGGCTAAAGCTCCCACTTCACACACGGAGGGCCCGGGTTCGATTCCCGGCGGGTGGAAACATTTCGACACGTTTCCTTACACTATTGTCCTGTTCACCTAGCAGCAAATAGGTACCTGGGTGTTAGTCGACTGGTGTGGGTCGCATCCTGGGGGACAAGATTGAGGACCCCAATGGAAATAAGTTAGACAGTCCTCGATGACGCACTGACTTTCTTGGGTTATCCTGGGTGGATAACCCTCCGGGTTTAAAAATCCGAACGAACTCTTATCACACCTATGTCAGAGGGTTGAGGTATATTTTATTGTTTAGAGGTATTGTATGCATGTATGCAGTAAGAATGCTTGGGTGTGGTTTGTTGTAATTGAGATACTGTTGCGATGTGACAGGCTTATATGCTCATGTACAGCTGGGAGACTGAGTGACAGGGAACTGTATGCTGCCGAGAGACAGTGGTGGTTGCCTAAATGAGGGAGAAGAGGGGGGGGGGTGTAATAGAATGTTTTGTTATAGGAGACAGCATTGAACGTTGCCCTATTAAGGGGGGGGGGTAGATGGTGTGGTTTAAAGATCCTTTATACCTCTCTGTTCCAACTGTCTTTCTTAGAAATGCTACTCTCCACTTATTGCCCTTTCTGGATTTAAGTATCAATTATTGCTGGTTATTATCCTATTCCTTGTTAAGTAAGTAAGTAAGTAAGTAAGTAAGTAAATTTATTCAGGTATACACAATACAGTTACATAGAATTATCATACATAGCAGCATATGTGTAGAGAACCTAGGATAACTCAAAAAAGTCAGACAGAGTGACTTATTTCCATTGGGGTCCTTTGAGAGAGGACTTCCTAGCTTCCTAAGTATTCTTACTACTAATAACTACTGTAATAGCTTGCAGGAGTGAGTGACCAGTATCTAACAGCGATGCAAGGTCAGAACAAGCTTGCAACATGCAAACCACAAAATAGGTGGGTGATACTTGCGCTGGCAACGGTCGTGACAGTTGCCAGATGCTGATGACGAAGTCTTCGTACGTAGTCCTTAAATCCCTATTTTGGAGATCCTTCACCCGTGTTGATTATAGCCACATGTGCTCATACATCCCTCGTTCCTCACGCGATTTCACTTTTCACTTATGATAGTATAGTGTGTGTGTGTGTGTGTGTGTGTGTGTGTGTGTGTATCAGCAGTGTATCAACTTCTAGGTGCTACTTATGCTGCTTCACATCTCTCAGACCCGGCAACCCTGTGCGAGCATTCAGCCGTCAGTAACCCATCAGATGTTGAAGTGTGAGGAGGCGAAGGAAGAGATATTTACTTAGATGTTGAAGTGTGAGGAGGCGAAGGAGGAGCTATTTACTTAGATGAGGACCTGTTGCTGCTAGTGAGTGAAGAGGTAAATGCCAGTGAGCCACTAGATGTGAGGAGGTGCAGGTGCGTGTGAGCGGAGACTCTTCCTTGTAAACATCGCTATATAAATAAAGGAAAATCTGCTAAAGCAAGGGAGTAACTCGTTATTATTCTGCAAAGTAAGTTACAAAATGAGGTTTACATTTCTTATATATATATGCAAGACAACCACGGGGGAGTAGAATGACTCCCCCGTCCCCCGTGGTTGTTTTGCATCCTGTATCGCTTGGTTTGCGATATTTGCATATATATATATAATATATATATATATATATATATATATATATATATATATATATATATATATATATATATATATAATATATATCCATTTATGGAGAGTGGTGAGCATTTTTTACATCTTATGCAACTTTTACTTCGTGTGTTCGTGTCTTTATTGGCTCACAACCTCACATTCACATTTTATGTCAATTCTAATATATGCATCATTACGTATATATATTTTTAAATGCAAATTCTTGAATGTACATCCTTACACGTGAATTCTAAAAAAGAAAAAGAAAAAAAAAACATTGTTAAGAACTTAATTAACAAGCAGGACTCAAACTTAAGGCAGGGCAGTCTTAAAATTAGCAAGTCATTGCTCTATCAACTAAATCACACTAGCTTAGATGGAGGTTGGTGGTTTATTAGTCAGGAAGTAATACAGTGTATTTTGACATTTGTGTTAATCATGTGATGATCCTGTTTAAGTTAGCCATCAGCTGGAGTACCGCAGCTACATTTTACACGCCATTTAAAAGAAAATAATCAATACATAGTACTGTATCCCAAGATGATATCCATAAAAGCATCCTTAAAAAATTGCACAAACCTCATTCCGATCACGAATGTAGATGTTTATAGAGAATCTCACACACCCGTTAACAAAAAAATCTTGCTCAAGTTCTTAGTTAAAATACCACCAGTCATAAATAAGTCTTGGAAAATTTTTAAGCTAAGTCTCGCTGCAGTGTGGGCGTAAGAATCGTCCATAAAAACTTGTATTTGTGGTCAAGATGATTACGTGCAATACTGGCTCTGAGTAACTCTAACTTTCAGGCTTCCCAACTTTCTTCATTGCATAACACAATCATCTCTTACAGCTTTTGTGTTCTTGCAAGTAAGACCTTATTTCTCTTTCACAGATAAGAAAATTTCCTCTGTGCATACATAACTTGGGACCTAAAAAGTGTTTCACTACCGGGTTGGTATCCAAAGGCGCCACTATCAACCTTGTGGTGTAGTGAACCTTTGGTGGCATTCCGTCTGACACCTACACTGACACTCCCGTTCCTGGGTTAATAGCCTTCCTTGGGTAACTAAATCAAGGAAAGTCTCCTTCCTCCAGTAACCGTGTCAGACCCGACTATCTGACACTGTTCCCAAGGAATTAATTGACTGAGGTGTAATATCTCCCAGACACAATATGGAAGGCAAGTGTAATCTCGAGTGCTGGTGTCATGTACCAACGAGAGGACAAAATAAACCTCCGTGTTACGTGTGTGTACTCCAAACCTGCTCCTCCTGTGAGTCTCAACTCTCTAAAGTATAATAATTGTAATAGAAATAAGTATTAAAAAAAATAATCGTAGAGGTAGTAGAAGTAGGATTATTAGTAGTATTAATGGACGTATTAATGATAATAATAATTATTAGTAGTAGTAGTCGTAATATATATATATATATATATATATATATATATATATATATATATATATATATATATATATATATATATATATATATATATATATATATATATATATATATTACGACTACATATATATATATATTACTTGACGTGCTGTTGGAGTGTGAGCAAAGTAACATTTATGAAGGGATTCAGGGAAACCGGCAGGCCGGACTTGAGTCCTGGAGATGGGAAGTACAGTGCCTGCACTCTGAAGGAGGGGTGTTAATGTTGCAGTTTAAAAACAGTAGTGTAAAGCACCCTTCTGGCAAGACAGTGATGGAGTGAATGATGGTGAAAGTTTTTCTTTCTCGGGCCCCCCTGCCTTGGTGGGAATCGGCCAGTGTGTATAATAAAATATATATATATATATATATATATTATATATATATATATATATATATATATATATATATATATATATATATTATATATATATATACACTGTGTTTGACTTACAGGTAAATCAGAGATAACTCCCTCAGCGCCGCCACTGTCTCCTGTGGAGTTCCTGCTGCTGCAGCAGGAGGAAGAAGCAACACTATCATACAAGGTATGATCATGTCAGCATAGACATACGTGCAAGACAACCTTGCAACGGTGAACACAACTCTGTTTCCCACTTACATCTGTTCAGATTATTATTGTTATTATTATTGTTATGATTATTATTATTATTATTATTATTGTAATCAGTAGTAGTAGTAATAGTAATCAATACTATTTTATTATTATTATTATTATTATTATTATTATTATTATTATTATTATTATTATATTATAATCATGAATTATATATTCAGTGATTGGGCAGTAGATGATACTCGGCCTTGATCCAGGGAAGGAGAGGGTACATGGAATTTTTGGATCTAGAGAACTTCACCAACATGCATCCTCCCTCGAACCCGTGTTGTAGTTAGAAGACAACCACACCATCGTATGTCCTCGCAACATAAAGCAAGCCTAGTTCGCTAGAATCATGTTGTTTGTAGAATTCTATGGTCCAGTATTTCAGAGCGTCGTGAATTTTCGCTCTCTTCTCACTAAGACAACATGGGTTCGATACCCCGGCTAGCCGCTGTTTGTTATTGATTAAATACCACTTGTTCGTGGTTACAGTAATATACGTACTGCTTGTGGAGGCTAGTACACCAAACGGAAGTAGAACGAAATTAACTCTGAATCAGCCACACCATCATATGTCCTCGCAACATGAAGCAAGCCTAGATCGCTAGGCTCATGTTGTTTGTAGGATTGCATGGTTCAGTGGTTTAGAGCATCGTGTATTTTCGATCTCTTCCCACCAGGCGGGCTAAAACAACACGGGTTCGATCCCCCGGCTATCCACAGTTTGTTATTGATTAAACACCACTTGTTCGTGGTTACGATAATATGTATATACACACACACACACACACATATATATATATATATATATATATATATATATATATATATATATATATATTATATATATATATATATATATATATATATAATTTATATATATATATATATATATATATATATATATATATATATATATTATATATATTATATATATATATATATATATATATACATGACTAATAGGTAAAACTGGTCAATTAGCAAGAACTCATTTAAAAATAGGTCGTTTCTAAAATTTTCTCTTACACGTTTAAAGATATATATGTTTTTCATTAATGTTAATGCAAAAATTTATAATTTTGCAACAAAAGAATCTTAGAAAACTTACCTAACCTTATTATAAAAAGAACAATTTAATTTAGCCTAATCCAAATATACTTTAGATACGTTTACAATAATTTAATACTAAACAAACAGTGAAATACTTTTTTTTCGTTAGGTTCTGAATGATTTTTGCGAAATTATTGCATACACAAATTTTCGCTTGTCTTATATGGCAAGATGAGCTTTGCTATTTAAGCCAAGATCGCAAGTTCTGCCTATTCGGCACGACATATATATATATATATATATATATATATATATATATATATATATATATATATATTATATATATATATATATATATATATGCAAAACAACCACTCTGAAAAAATAGAGAAATTCCAAGCGCTTTCGTGACTACTCACATTATCAAGGAACTATGAAAGTAAAGCATACAAGGAAGCTATATAAGGGGTCTGGCCAGCACCTCACTATCAGATCCCACAACGGTTAAACACCTGACGCGCGCCGACCCAACTTGGATATGTCCTTTGCACAACACACCCCACACACTATTCTACCCAAGAAAATTTAAAAATTATTTGTCCAGTGTATTATTAAATTCTTCCCATATTCTATTTTATGAAACAAGATTCAATTATATTCCTGTCGACCATGGACTTGCTTGATACTACTTTCTCAACTTTTTGAAAATCAATTGGATGGTTAAAATCTCTTACATGAATAAATAGAGCATTGGAATCTTGTCCAGTTCTAATGCTATATTTATGTTGTTTTAATCTTAGTTCGAGATTTTTACCAGTTTGACCGTAATAAACTTTATCGCAAATTTTACAAGGAATCTTATAGACACATCCATCAGCATTTTGGGGGGAATTCTTTATCAAAAGTTTTTTTACTGTATCAAGATTTTTGAATACAACTTTAATATTAAAAGTCTTAAGAAGAGAAGGCATATCAACCAAGTTTTCATGGTAAGGGAGAACCAACATATTTTTAGTTGAATAAGGCTGGTTGTCCCTTTTTGGATTGTAAAATGTATTTCTAGCAACTTTAAAAGATTTATCAATTACATTTCTTGGGTATTTTAAATCATTACATATTTCATAAATTTTGGATATTTCCTCATCTATGAACTCAGGACTACAAATTCGTAAAGTTCTCAGAAACATTGATGAGAAAACAGACAGTTTGACTATATCTTGATGCGAGGAATAATAGTGGACATAGGAACAGTTATTTGTAGGTTTTCTGTAAATTTTAAATTTGAATTCATTATTACCCTTAATAATTAAAACATCTAGAAAAGGCAATGAGTTATTTTCTTCAAACTCAACAGTAAAGTTTATAGAATGGGCTAAGCTATTTAATTTTCCAAAGAAATGGTGTATATCTACATTTTTGGGCATAAGACACAAAATATCATCAACATATCTGAACCATTTAGCTCTATTAGGGAGGATTGTGTTAAGTAACCTTGTTTCAAAAAATTCCATGTATAGGTTACTAAGAACAGGTGAAAGAGGATTTCCCATTGCCATACCAAACTTCTGAGTGTAAAATTTATCATTAAATACAAATTTTGCATCAACAATGCAAAGTTTATTAAGTTTAATGATAGTAGGAACTGGCAATGGTAAATCATAGTTAACGAGTTCTTCAGATAAGAAACTTAATAAATCATCAACAGGAACTTTCGTAAACAAGGAAGTAACATCAAAACTAACCATGTTAAAATCATTTAAGTCAGTCAAGGAGCTTAATTTATCAACCAAGTCTATGTTGATTTTAACATTAAAGTTAGAAATTTTGCCAACAATAGGGCTCAAAATATCAACAAGCCATTTGGATAGTTTATATGAAACTGACCCTATGGAGCTAATAACTGGTCTGACTGGATTCCCTGGTTTGTGTGTTTTTATTAGTCCATACATGTAAGGCAAAGATGGATTAGTGGAAGTAAATTGTTTGACATAAATTCATCTTTGCCTTTCAGTAGAAGTTTTATTGTTTTATTGAAATTGCTGTTAACGGTTTCTAGGGGATTTTTCCTAAGTTTAGAATAGGTTTCAGTATCATCTAAAATTCTAAGGAATATAATTGAATCTTGTTTCATAAAAAGCAGTTTTGACAATAATATGAATATTTCCTTTGGTTTATATAAATTAGATCCATTTATAATTAATAGAATTTGGGAAGAATTTAATAATACACTGGACAAATAATTTTTAAATTTTCTTGGGTAGAATAGTTTGTGGGGTGAGTTGTGCAAAGGACCTATCCAAGTTGGGTCGGCGCGCGTCAGGTGTTTAACCGTTGTGGGATCTGAATAGTGAGGTGCTGGCCTGACCCTTATATAGCTTCCTTGGATGCTTTACTTTCATAGTTCCTTGATAATGTGAGTAGTCACGAAAGCGCTTGGAATTTCTCTATTTTTTCAGAGGGGGATTGTTTTGCATACTATATATATTATATATTTATATATATATATATCTTATATATATATAGTATAATATTATGATATATATATATATATATAAATATATTATATATATATATATATATGTGTGGTGTGTGTGTGTGTGTGTGTGTTGTGTGCGTGCGTGCGTGCGTGTGTGTGTACTCACCTATTTGTACTCACCTATTTGTGGTTGCAGGGGTCGAGTCATAGCTCCTGGCCCTGCCTCTTCACTGATTGCTACTAGGTCCTCTCTCTCCCTGCTCCATGAGCTTTATCATACCTCGCCTTAAAACTATGTATGGTTCCCGCCTCCACTACTTCACTTTCTAGGCTATTCCACGGCCTGACTACTCTATGACTGAAAATACTTCCTAACATCCCTTTGATTCATCTGAGTCTTCAACTTCCAATTGTGACCTCTTGTGTCTGTGTCCTTCTCTGGAACATCCCGTCTTTGTCCACCTTGTCTATTCCGCGCAGTATTTTATATGTCGTTATCATGTCTCCCCTGACCCTCCTGTCCTCCAGTGTCGTCAGGCCGATTTCCCTCAACCTTTCTTCGTAGGACAATCCCCGTAGCTCTGGGACTAGTCTTGTTGCAAACCTTTGCACTTTCTCTAATTTCTTGACGTGCTTGACTAGGTGTGGATTCCAAACTGGTGCTGCATACTCCAGTATGGGCCTGACGTAGATGGTGTACAGAGTCTTAAACGAATCCTTACTGAGGTATCGGAACGCTATCCGTAGGTTTGCCAGGCGCCCGTATGCTGCAGCAGTTACCTGATTGATGTGCGCCTCAGGAGATATGCTCGGTGTTATGCTCACCCCCAGATGAGTGAGGTTTGCAGTCTTTGGCCATCTAAACTATATTGTGTCTGCGGTCTTCTTTGCCCTTCCCCAATCTTCATGACTTTGCATTTGGCAGGGTTAAATTCAAGGAGCCAGTTGCTGGACCAGGCTTGTAGCCTGTCCAGGTCTGTTTGTAGTCCTGTACTCACCTATTTGTGGTTGCAGGGGTCGAGTCCTGGCTCCTGTGTGTGTGTGTGTGTGTGTGTGTGTGTGTTTGTGTGTGTGTGTGTGTGTGTGTGTGTGTGTGTGTGTGGCCTGATCATTGTATTGGCTAATTCATATTGATTATGCGTTATTATTAATGCATTGATAGGGACTCTAGTTCGTAGGGGTCACACGCCATCTTGAGAATGAGAATTTGGTTTAGCTCAAGGAAGGCGACCGACAGTAACCCCTATTTTTTGAGGAAAAGCGGCCTTCACGAGCATCAAGACACTTCTTCCTTGAAGTGTACCATTATAATATATTTTCCATCCTGACAGAATCCTGAAGTTGCGCTTGGGTTGGTAGGCTCAGATGAGATCTCATACGGATGGAGAGCAAAATTCACGTCTTCTGAAGACCCGCTAGTTGTCGACCTTAACACTTCCCCTGATCTTGACAACAACAACAGTCATCCGTCAAGTGAAACTGCTGAGGTGGAAGGCTACCTGTCAAGAGAGGCTTTCAGTGAAACTCCAGAAGCCTTTGTGAGACGAAGTCCGGCAAAAAGTGAACAGTTTCAAGATGTATCTCAGGAGGAAAAGCGTGAAGGAAAATTCGGAGCCAACCAAAGGTGATTTATCGGAGCTCATAAAGAGCCTTGTTTTAGGAAATGATGATATATTACAAGATTCTGCTACCAATCGACTGAATAGTTTCGACAGGTGGAATAGTCTAGATTCATTATCACAGCGAAGGGAATCATGGCAGCACGAGAATAATCCCAGATTAAGGGGCACAAGGAAGGACCATTATCAAACTCCTAGTACAGGATCCGCATTACTCTCAGTTTCTCACGACATGCTCCACGTCCGATCACACAAGTATTCAAATTCGGTAATGACAGAGAGACATTATAAAAGCATCAACAGAATCCATCGGAGAGAGACCTCGGCAGAGGCCGCCGTAAGATACAAACTCATGTTGAGTACCGAGTCACGTCGTTCATAGAATCAGTGATGTGCATTGGACAACAAAGATAATTCTTCCTTGCAATTTGCGACCAGGACAATGTTCAATTACAATTGCATAAGCTTTGTATTATGTATAACTTGTATTCGTCGTCATAAAGTATAACCAGCTAATAAAGTGGTCTGGAAAGACACACGTTTACATTTATAACAAGTATATAAGGCAACATTTCACCATGAGGGTTTTATTACCATAAGCTGAGGCAGGAGACGGGTGACTTGAAGTCAGAAGGTAGTAGTGGGATCACTTGACGAGTATTGGACATCACATAAGTTGATGTCACGTGGGGTAAAAAGTTAAGATGTCTGAAAGCTTGTGTGAAGTATATACATTCATAAAGGTACTGGGGGCTAGAAAGCGTAAATCGTCGAGGAAAAAGCCTGTAATTTCATCTCTTTTGTTCTGTTTTTCATGGTGAAAGAAATTGCATCTAGGCATTTTTTATATGTAAACTTTGAGGAAAAGTCTGTCCTCTCTAGTTTGGAGTAAAACATCAAGAAAAGACAGGTGTTTTCTTTTTCCACTTTAATAGTAGACTTGTGTTCCTAGACATGATGACTAGTACATCGTCCATGTATCGCATTCAGATGACTAAGTTTGGTATGGTGGTATGCTGGTACCATTCTTAAACCGGATCAGTTTAAGATTAGTTGCTGACTCTTATTTGATGTCTTCCTGACTAAACATTGTTTAGAGATTATGTAGAGTTTGTCTTATTAAAAATTATCATTGTTGACCGAATAGCTGTTCTGTTTGTATCATTAATATATAATTCTCAAGGCGATGGTGTTTTCCTTTAGAAAGGAATTGGGTAGTGACTCAGGGAGAGAGAAAAAGAGAGAGTAGAGACTGTTGATGCTCTGATTGGCTTAAGCTGTATTATCATTCATCATTTCCAAAATCTGTAGTATGGCTGGTATAAGGTAGTATTGGTGCCAACGGGGAAGTAATTTATTAAGATTTGATTGTGCGTTTCAGTACAACAGATAGTTTCTTGAAATTAATCTAAATGCTGTGAGCTACATTGAGGCGGCACTCGTAGTTTTGTAAATCCGTAGCAGAGTATACCAACACGCATTTATTAAGACAATATTCGGTTCATGGCATTTTAATGAGAAACTTTTCGGTCACTAGGGACTATCAGCTTCTCCTGTCCTAGAGGGCGAAACGTCTGCTCTATAAAATGCCATAAATCGCATATTGTGTTCTATGAACACTGTTTAGTTTTGTACCCCAGGATTTGTTCCATTTTTCATTTATTGTAACAGGTCAAGGTCCTGATTAAATGATAATTATTTATGCAATAAAGCATTTGAGCTATAAGTATCTGAACACATCACTGTGTCTATCGACAAATGCCTCTGACAGCTGGTAACACACACACACACACACACACACACAGCTTACGAGTCCAGTTAAACCTACATATCTTAAATTATAGTTTATATCTATTTTACTTGGATAATTAAATTTGATATGATTTTTGTAGGATATATATTTAATACTGAGTAAATTCTCTGATTATATGGAATAATCATACACCAAGTTTTACTTATTTTTGGGAGGATCAGCAGTTTTTTCCCTTTTATAAAAGCTATTATAAACTAGTAGAATTAATAAGGTCAACCAAGTATTTACTCTTTTAATGAATACTTAGAAGTAAATATATTGTATTGATCCCTCGCAAAACCTTTAAAATTCACAAACACATGTGAAGGTAAGGAAGCAGCTGCTACAGCCGGAGGGAACCTTGCTCGTCAGGAGAAATTGGAAACTCCCTCCCGAATCTTGATCATAAATTGACCAGCATGGGTAGAGACTGTGATCGTTTGAGAACATAAGAAGGAGCACTGTAGCAGGCCTACTGGCCCATGCCAGTGAAAACTTATCATCATATTCCAAGATACTTTTGATAGCACCTAACAGAGGAATATATTAGAAAGCTGGTGGAGGAAAGAAATTATACGTTAATAAGGGAAGAAAATACATTTTAAAGAAGGTTTCGCTTGGCAACATTTCACTATGCATAAAGTTTTATTAAGTCATGGTAACGCATTGCTCTGAACAGGGTTCTCGTGCCTTACTGAAGCTCTTCACAAACAAAACGTCATCTCGATGGAATAGTGTTCTACAAAGTGGGTCTTTCCTTCACTAGTGTCGACAGTACGCTCCTTTGAAACTGTTTAGAAGGGTGTATCAGGGGCTGTCTCTTGATGCTGCTTGATGGCCGCATTATCCCTCACCTTTTGAACGAGAGTTATCACTGCAGGGTAGGCATCCAGTAGCTCTGCCTTCCTCTTTCGTACCTCTCCGAACACTAGTGAGATCATCAGATCAGCCCAGGTAATCTGCCAAAGCACAAAACTCTGTTAAGGTGGAACAGTACCCATATATGAAAGCCACGATATTTGGTTATCGACCATGACCACAATGCCTGGTTATGCATGGCCACAATACTGGTTATATATGACCACCACAATACCTAGTTATATACCATGACCACAATACCTGGGTATACACAGCCACAATACCTGGGCATAAACGACCACAATATCTGGGTATACACGACCACACAACCTGGGTATACACGACCTCACTACCTGGGAATACACGACCACAATTCACGGGTATACATGACCACTACCTTGGTAAACATGACCACAGTACCTGTGTATATATCATGACCAAAAAATACTTAACTATGAATGGTTTATTGCATCCCTCGCACTTCAGCACTGACCTTGTCATCAATGAACCACTCTCTGTCCTGCAGACGCTTGTTGAGTCGCTCCAGTACAGGAGCCATCACATTGGGAAAGAACTCTTCCCGGTAAATTTTCTTCTTCTCTTCCTCACTCTGAGACGAGAACCTGGAGAAGAATCTTTCTTAGTGGTCGGATTATTATCATGGAGCACTAAACCCATATGGATTATACAGAGCCTATACGGAGTGGTTAATGAAAAACATTCAGGGTCATTTCAAGGAATTGGAGCCCAGATCCAATTCTCTAGATCGAGAGCCCCCTCACCAGCTTCAAGGGACTTAGCGGTTGGCAGATCGAGCCTTCATCACTTGCCCTGAACGATACCCCTCAAGGAGTTATTGCTTCACCTAAATATGAAAGAGAAATGCAATCATTCATACCCCCAAAAAAGTTATTTAGTTCAAATACTTAGTTTTTCGAGTTTCTATTGCGAACTTGGCCAAAGCATGCTAGTGAATATTTGCCATGCCTATAGGCATAAAACAGGTAATGCTTGAGGACTCACAGGAGATTTTTGTATCCTAACATTATATATATTGCAAAACAATCGCAGACAGGCAATCTTAACAAAGCGAGACAAGTCAAAGGGGGTGGAAATCTTAAGCTCAAGTACTTTCACACTTCTCAGTGCGTCAAGAACTGTGCAATGTTGCAAAGGCAGCAACAGGAAAAATGAGGGGAAATTTTCAGAGTATGGTAGCGTGAGTGGCACCCTGGCTGGTACCATGTCTCTACAGGTATCTGTTGAGACATGGAGGCAAAGAAGGGAATGTGTGGTGTAAATATTATGCAGAGAATTCGTAGTATGGAAATTAGGAGGAGGTGTGGAGTACTAAAAGTATTATTCAGAGGGCGAAAGAGGGGCTGTTGAGGTGGTTTCGTTATTTAGAGAGGACAATGAAATAGATGACTTGGAGGGTGTATAAATCTGTAGTAGAGAGGAAGGGTGGGGGTTATCCTAGGATAGAAAGGAGGGAGGGGGTAAAAAAGGTTTGTGTGCAAGGGGCCTGGACATGCAGCAGGCATGTGTGAGCGTGTTAGGACTGAATGGAGATTAATGGTTTTTGGGACTTGACGAGCTGTTGGAGTGTAAGCAAGATAATATTTTGTAAAGGGACTCAGGAAATCTGTTAGCCGGACTAGAGTCCTGGAGGTGGTAAGTACAATGCTTGCACTTTAAGGAAGGGTTTGGGATATTGGCTGTTTTGAGTGACATATAAACTGTCATATCCGAGCGCCTCTGCAAAGACAGTGATTATATGTGAATGATGGTGAAAGTGTTGAATAATGGTGAATGATTCCTTTTTTGGGCCACCCTACCTCCAATTTCGCATATTACACTCTCAGGCACCTGTTGCCACATACATCATACAACACCATACTTGCATAATTTTATATCCTTCTCCCGTGACATCGGAGAGTGTGTCTGCCAGTGCATCGCAATATGCAGCTTCCAGATCATCGGTGGGCACCAGCCCAGCTTGCTTGGCCAGGTAGCGGGCGATGGCCAGTGACTGCGGCAGCGGCTTGTCATCCACCATCAACACTGGCAGCTTACCCCCGGGGATACCTGCGGGTCAACCACACGAGTGAACAACAGCGATTTGAAGAGAGACAATGAAATGTTTATTCTCATTTAGGGATCTCTCTAATGTAATGGTTTAGAAAAACCCCTACAAGTTGAAGAATGAGACACTTGTGCAATATTTTGAAATCTTAACTGAGGACGCGCTGCGCTAGTACGCGTCGTCTTCAGTCCAATATAGAGAAAACCGGTGAAAGATGAGGAGAATGACGTAATCAGTACTTCAGCCTGGAGTCGATGAGTTTAGTCAATCAGGCATGAGGAAAGTACCTCATTCTCATCACCTTTCACCGTTTTTCTCGGTATTGGACTCAGACACTGGCTGGCGAAACGTTTCTTCAATAAATATTTCCAAACATTTAATTGGAGCTCCTCTACTGCATATAGTGCATTTTTTCTTTAACTGAGAATGAAAAAAATAAATAACACATACTATGAAGGCCTTTTCACGTGATATGCAATTTGGATGGATTTCTCAATTTCATTTGCAAAAAAATCGCACCAGATACTGGAGCGTTAATTGAGGATTAAATGAACTTAAATAAATTGTACCATTATCCTCCTATATCTTGACAATTTAGCTCCAGGTGCACTCTCCAACATAAGTTTTAAGATTATACCTCAAAATAGAATACACTAAGAAAAAATAAAGACATTATACTATGGATGGCTTATAAAGAGCTGTCAGGGCCATACAGTTCCAGGGAAATGCGAGGAGAGAGTAAAAAGTTCGATCTGGGATTATGAAGTATCTGTCAACTTAAAAGGACAGTGGTTCGAAAATTTCACAACTCTCGAAGTACTAATGGAACCAGAGGACATTTCGGTCCGTCCAGAACTATTATCAAGTCCAAAGTCCAGGTTTATTTCAAATTTTCGACTTAAATGGGAAATACTGTACTGTGCATGGCGAGAATTACGCCCAGATGAACAGCACCATACTAATGTATATTGAATATTTTATTATAGTACATAATGTTGTGGATTACCAGTAAAGGAACATGATATAGAAAAAAATAATGGGGTAAATAAAGATTTAAAAAATAAAAAGGATGAGGCTATATTTTCAAATTTGGTTAGATAAAATACCGTTATTTTTTGGTAATTTCGTATAATCAACCTGATTATGGTCTAGAGATCAAGTTACACTTTGTTTCTGCAGTATTCACGTTATCGATGAGAAAAATATGAACAACGTTCAAAATACATGACTTTGGGGTCTGTGTGTAACCTTATGAATTGTTAGACTGAAATTCTCCCAAACTTCGTGGATTTCCGTTTTTCTCTTGGGTAATGTTGCTTATACAATATGTATGAAGCCACAGACTGCGTCACACCATCGTGACTATATACAACTGATTCTAATGTAGTTATTAGTTTGCTTTAATGATTGCAAAGGCAAATTTTAAGGTCGTTTGAGTCTTGTTTCTGGATTGTGCCCATTTGTCTGTTCCTGATGACAGCCAGTTTAAGAAGAAATTCATAGTGGAAATGAGAGGTAACAAACTAATCGAATTCAAAAGAAATGTCATAGGGTTTCATTCTGGTATTTTTAGGGATAATTATAAAAGCTAGTAATACCTGTAGATAAGATCATATATTGTAATGGAGTGATACCTGAATGTGGAAACAGGTACTGGCTGATATGGCCAATGGTGTTAATTATTTTTTTTAATGTGCTCTTTACATGGCAGTATTTTGACTTGCATGAGGAGAGGCTCTGAAATATTAGCAAGAATTCTATTAAAAACTATAAACTCACCATCACATAGCATAGCTGTTACTACAAGTACTACAACTACTACTAGTACTATTACCACTAAGGCTACTATCACCATTATTATTAATACTCACAACGATTATATGCTTTTACACCTCGCTGTATTGTTTATAACGGCTTGACAGTGTTGCCACAATAAAATGTCGCATTAGTTGCACATTTCCTTTTAACTAACGCAAATTATTATATTAATGTGAGGGTTATATAGCTCCACAGGAATGGAAGATATTAATGTTTGGCTCAGAAAAAATGAAGGTTAGCTCAGATTTCTTGGCTAGAGCCGTTTACCAGCATCAAATCACCACCCCAAGAACATCTGAAGCATACTTACTTTTCTTTTTATCAGGCCAGTCAGCCTTCTCGATGCGTTCGTCAGTGTAAGGGATCCCACCGTAAGCAAAGATCCAGCGGGCCAGCTCAGCGCGACCTCTGGCGTTGAAGTAGATCAACTTGTACTCCGGCATGGTGCTCCACGCGGTTCTGTGGGAGACCACAAGATAAGAAAACCATGGAGTACTTGGGGAGATAAAGAAAAAAAGCATAAAAATTGTGAGGGAGACATGGAGGGCCAGGGTGTTGAAATTTTGAGAGGTAGGTGAGGGTAGTGAGGGGCCATGTTGTTGCTTTTAGATACAAAGTCAAGTTATTGTTGAGTTATGGAAGATTAAAAGAGGTTACCTGGAGGTTACCTGGAGGTTATTCCGGGGATCAACGCCCCCGCGGCCCGGTCCACGACCAGGCCTCCCGATGGATCAGGGCCTGATCAACTAGGCTGTTACTGCTGGCCGCACGCAGTCCGACGTACGAGCCACAGCCCGGCTGATCCGGCACTGACTTTAGGTATCTGTCCAGCTCTCTCTTGAAGGCAGTCAGGGGTTTATTGGCAATTCCCCTAATGCTTGATGGGAGGCTGTTGAACAGTTTTGGGCCACGGACACTTATGGTGTTTTCTCTTAGTGTACCAATGGCGCCCCTACTTTTTATTGGCGGCATTTTGCATCGCCTGCCCAGTCTTTTACTTTCGTAGGGAGTGATTTCTGTGTGCAGATTTGGGACCATTCCTTCCAAGATTTTCCAAGTGTAGATTATGATATATCTCTCCCTCCTGCGTTCCAACGAGTACAAGTCAAGTGCTTTCAAGCGTTCCCAGTAGTTAAGGTGCTTGACAGAACTTATACGTGCAGTAAAGGATCTCTGTACACTCTCTAGATCTGCGATTTCACCTGCTTTGTATGGAGATGTTAATGTACAGCAGTATTCCAGCCTAGAGAGAACAAGTGATTTGAAAAGGATCATCATGGGCTTGGCATCTCTCGTTTTGAAAGTTCTCATTATCCATCCTATCATTTTCTTTGCACGTGCGATCGTGGCACTGTTGTGATCCTTGAAAGTGAGATCCTCAGACATTACTACTCCCAGGTCCCTTACATTATTTTTCCGCTCTATTGTATGGCCGGAGTCAGTAGTATACTCTGTTCTAGTTATTATCTCCTCCAGTTTTCCATAACGGAGTAGTTGGAATTTTTCCTCATTGAACATCATATTGTTTACCGTTGCCCACTGGAAAACTTTGTTTATATCTTCTTGGAGGTTAACCGCGTCCTCAGCAGATGACAGCCTCATGCAGATCCTAGTATCATCCGCAAAGGATGATACGGTGCTGTGGTGTATATCTCTGTTTATGTCTGATATGAGGATAAGGAATAAGATGGGGGCGAGTACTGTGCCTTGTGGAACAGAGCTCTTCACTATGGCAGCCTCCGATTTAACTCTGTTGACCACTACTCTTTGTGTTCGATTTGTTAGGAAGTTGAAGATCCATCTCCCCACTTTCCCAGTTATTCCTTTAGCACGTATTTTATGGGCTATTACACCATGATCGCATTTGTCAAATGCTTTTGCAAAGTCTGTGTATATTACATCTGCATTCTGATTTTCTTCCAGTGCATCCAAGGCCATGTCATAGTGATCCAGTAGTTGTGAGAGGCAGGAGCGACCTGCCCTGAACCCATGTTGCCCTGGATTGTGCAGATTTTGGGAATCCAGGTTAGGGTCTTGGAGGTGTAAAGGGGATGAGTTCAGGTTGGACTTTAACGCAATATGGAAGTCAAATTAATGAAGTTGAGATTAAACACTTAGGCTGTATTTAAGACGATCATTAAGGAGACGTTTCGTCTAGTAGGATTTTCTTTCAATCCATTACAGAGGACAAGAGACGCGTAGCATATACCTCATACTGGCAGAGGTGAAGTTTACTAAAAGGGCGATGGTCATGTACTGCTTGATTAAAATATTTTGCTAGTACAACACTTTGGATAGAATAAATGTACTTGTATCTAGAGTTATGTTACTGACTGTAGAGATGAGTAATGACTCTCTAGAGGAGTGTCTACCCAACCTACCCGGAGGGTATTCCGGGGATCAACGCCCCCGCGGCCCGGTCCATGACCAGGCCTCCCCGTGGATCAGGACCTGATTAACCAGGCTGCTACTGCTGGCCGCACGTAGTCCAACGTACGAACCACATCCTGGCTCATCCGGTACTGACTTTAGGTATCTGTCCAGCTCTTGAAGACAACTTACTGTGTTTTCTCTTAGTGGACTAATGGCGCAACTAATTTTCACTGGGGTATGCTGCATCGCCTGCCAAGTCTTTTGCTTTCGTAGAGAGCGATTTCTGTGCAGATTAAGGACTAGTCCCTCCAGGATCTTCCAGGTGTAGATTGAATGAAGATGTCAATGTACAGCAGTATTCCAGCCTAGAGAGAACAGGCGATTTAAAAATGATCATCACTGACTTGACATCTCTTTTCATAAATATTCTCATTGTCCATCTTATCAGTTTCCTCGCAGATGTGTTAGTGGCACTATTGTGATCCTTGAAGACGAGATCCTCAGACATATCTACTCTCAGGTCTTTCACATTACTTTCCCGCTCTATTGTGTGATTAGAGTTTGTAGTATGTTCAGTTCTAATTATTATTTCTTCCAGTTTTCACAATGGAGTAGTTGGAATTTGTCTTCATTGAACATCATACTGGTCTCCGTTGCCCATTGTTTATATCTTACTTGCTCTGTAATGTCACCGCTCATGTCCACCACCATCATCATAATTGAAAATACAAAGAGTGTCATCATTTATCTTACATTCACATCCTGAATTTTCTGGTCAGCTACTGATGTTCTTCCATTATCATCAGTATATATAATAAACTGTTGGAAAAAAAAATAAAAATTTGCGACTGAAGAGCACGAGAGAGAAAAAGTCGTATTCTTGAAATGTGACAGACTTGTTGGTCAAGGAAAAGATGAAAGGTTAGGTTAGGCAAGATTTGTCAGGAAAAAGGACAAGTGCTTCCTGACGCGGGTGTTTGTCATATGATGACCCGTAGCTGGAGCTTATGGTCATCTGACCGAGGCCTACCGCCGGCTTACCGATCCACCCCTTTAAAAATTATGGATGAGAGAATGACAATCTTCGAGCCCAGAGATATAAGAACTGAACGTCAAAGAAAGGAGAGTAGGAAAGATGTCGTAACCTTGAGATATAATACAGATCTACTTGGGAAGGGAGAGAGAGGTGAAACCAAAATGTGCCCCGTGGCCTGATGGCTAAAGCTCTCCTTTCACACGGCGAGTGTCTGGGGTTGATTCCCAGCGAGGGTAGAAACATTGGGCATGTTTCTTTGCACCGGTTGTCTATGTTCCCCATCAGTAAAATGGGTACCTGGGCGTTAGTCGACTGGTGTGGGTCACATCCTGGGACAAAACTGACCTAATTTGCCCGAAATGCTCTGCATAACAAGTGGTTTCTGTATGTCATTGATGTCAGCTAGGTCTGTATACTTTGTAAATATACTTGTAGATATTAAGATATTGTTATTATTATTATTATTAATTATTATTATTAAAATGCATCCCTGAGACGTAACACAGATCAGGTCGTCCAGGGAAAGGAAGAAAAAAAGACATTGTATCCCTATCATGAAAAAAAAAAACATGAACTGTTCATGATCAGGACAGCTACGTCCGCGAAGCAGAAAACCCATCAGGACTCTGCCCCTTTTGTGTGTGTAAGACTAAGCAGGAGGGAGTTGGTAATCAAATAGGAAAGACCTGCTGGCTGGTTTGTACCGTTAGCTAATTGTTGTGCCCAGCGAGCGGGTGATGCTACCAACAGACATATACATAAACGCAGATACCACTAATTTTAATGACGCCTTTTGGTCTTTAAGAAGAGCATATTTGTAACAAATCATTTCTTCTTAAAGCCCATAAAGCGTCATTAAAATTAGCGTTTTACGAAAGTGCCTCAGTGAGTAGGTATTACCGAAGGCAGATATGTTGTGAGAGTGGTAGTACTGGTGGCCATGACGGTGGCCTTGGTGATTCTGGTCGTAGTGTTTGGGGTGATGGTGGTAGTTGTTAGGGTGGTGATAGCCTTGGGGATTGTGGTGGTAGTGGTTGACGTTAGTGACATGAACTGCGCGTGGTGTTCCAGTGTCTGGGTTCTGCAGCGTCAGCAGAGCAAACCTCCAGCTCTCTCCTCCTTCTCTTTCCCCAATCTCTTCTCATCACCCCCTTCCCTCCTCCCTCTCTCTCTCTCTCTCTCTCTCTCTCTCTCTCTCTCTCTCTCTCTCTCTCTCTCTCTCTCTCTTCTTTCCCACTCTCCTTTCTCCTTCACCGCCGACATTTATTTTCCCACCACCTGAAAAAGCCCAGACAAACACGTCCCAGCAGCTTTCTCACGCCTCTTACAAGAAGGAATGTTTGTCTGTTGGGATCTAAGGGGGCTGTCTCCTGGAATCTAAGGGGCCTGTCTCCTGGAATCTAAGAGGGCTATCTCCTGGAATCTAAGGAGGCTGTCTCCTGGAATCTATGGGGCTGTCTCCTGGAATCTATGGGGGCTGTCTCCTGGAATCTATGGGGGCTGTCTCCTGGAATCTAAGGGGCCTGTCTCCTGGAATCTAAGAGGGCTATCTCCTGGAATCTAAGGAGGCTGTCTCCTGGAATCTAAGGGGCCTGTCTCCTGGAATCTAAGAGGGCTATCTCCTGGAATCTAAGGAGGCTGTCTCCTGGAATCTATGGGGCTGTCTCCTGGAATATATGGGGGCTGTCTCCTGGAATCTATGGGGGCTGTCTCCTGGAATCTATGGGGGCTGTCTCCTGGAATCTATGGGGGCTGTCTCCTGGAACCTAAGGGGGTTGTCTCCTGGAACCTAAGGGGGTTGTCTCCTGGAACCTAAGGGAGATGTCTCCTGGAACCTAAGGGGGATGTCTCCTGGAACCTATGGGGAATGTCTCCTGGAATCTATGGGGAATGTCTCCTGGAATCTATGGGGAATGTCTCCTGGAATCTATGGGGAATGTCTCCTGGAATCTATGGGGAATGTCTCCTGGAATCTATGGGGAATGTCTCCTGGAACCTAAGGGGGATGTCTCCTGGAACCTAAGGGGGATGTCTCCTGGAACCTAAGGGG